TCAGTCAAAGGATGGAAAAGACATGCAGATGTCTAACAGCAAGAAAAACCTCTCATGAAAAAAAAACAGGTGTCAGTTACAAAGACAGCATCACATGCTTCTCACAGAACTCAGGACACTGGAATAGAAATTCACCCAGATTCCTTAATCCTCTATTTCATTGCTTATTGTGGGGAAAAAAACCCAAATTACTTCCTTTTCATTTGCTCACAGAAAAACTAAATAAATTCTTGTTTCCCTTAGAAGGCTCCTGGGACAGCTGGTTACACATCTCCTACTGTCTGAGGATGTCCAGATAAAGGTAGCTGAAAACTGATAAAATAGTAATCTTTTCAAGTACACATATGGCTTGATTCTAAACAGGACAGATAATTTGTCAATGTATTCGCATTTCATTTTAGTAAAAGGTTTCCTTTGCCAAAGCAGAAGAGAAAAGCAGTTAAGTGGAACACCTGTGATTCCCTACACCCCCTATGTAATTACTAGGAAAGACGTTTAGACAGACAGAAAATGACAAGCTGACCAAGCAAGGGCAGCTATAATATGACAGGTAAGTGGAACAAAACATTTATAGAAGCAAGAAGAGGCAGAAGCCTTCCTCCTGAAGTTATTCAATTCCCTTTGTATTAAACATGCCAGATGGGTAGCGTGGCTGCTTCAGTTTCAGAAATGCTAGGCTGGCTTCAAAGCACCCACACAGAAACTGAGGTCCCAATAAACCAGAAGAAACATGAGAAAAAACATAATTAATCAAACAAATCCCTGAAATAAGGAGGATCTGGGGAACTACAAACTCATTAGCCTTACCAAAACCCAATAAAATTATGAAGCAAACTTTCATGGCATCCACTTCCAGACATACGGTGGTTAGGGTCAGACAGCATAGAAGGCAGATTTTGTCTAACCAGCCTTACTGCCTGCTACAGTGAGATCTCCAGACAGGGGGAAAACAGGAGATCATGTTTACATTGGCTTAAGAGAAGTTTCCCACTTGGTCTTCTACAGCACCATTGGAGTGAAACTGGGAACCATAATTTTTTTGGCCAAATTGAAAGGGTAAGCAAAAGGTGGCTGGATCACCAGGCTTAAAGAATAGTGATTTGATGATTCAAAGTCTAATTGTCTAAACTAAGCAGCTGTTATGAGCTGCATTCTTTGATCCTGGGGCAAAGACTGATAACAACATCTACATCAACATGGATGATGGAATGTTCACTCTCATTTCACCTACAGATTACACTAAATTGGGGCAGCAGTGGATATACTGGAGGCTACTGCTGCCCTGAAAACAACTTTGACAGCCGAAGAACTAAAGAGAACCTCAGAATTACAGTGGTAATTCTGCATCTGGGGCAGAATAACCCCATGAAACAGTATGGCCCAAGGGTCAAGAGCAGCTCCAAACCAAGGCCCGGCTGCCTTAAGCAGCCTGTGAGCAACAGTGAGGGCTAGTGACACATCTTGGTATTGGTGAGCACCACCTAAAAGCAGGAGAGAGGATGTGAGCCAGATTCTTCTCAGATGTGCACAGCAAGATTATGAGAGACAACAGTCACAAATAACAGCAAGACAAATTTTGATAAGATATAAGGTTTAGGAAAAAAACATGGCCAAACATCAGTACAGGTGCCCAGAGAGGATGTGTAATCTCTATCCTTGGAGATTTCCAGAATTTAGCCATACAAACCTCTCAGCATCCTGATCTAACTTGCAACTTCATCCTGCTTTAAGCAGGGTGCTGGCTGAGACCTCTGGAGGTGCCTTCCAACCTAATACCTCTCTGTGACTACACCAGGTAAACTGCAAATCTAAAACACATTTCCATTTTTGAAATAACCTGCTTAATGAAATCTGCATATTGAATAGGCCAAAAGGTTCTTATTCACTTACTGTAGTCCATGTCCTACACTGACAAGTAGATGCCACACCTCAACTGTGAAACTACTGTATTTCAGCCACATACCCAATGTGCATGATATATATCGAGGAAAAACAGATTCTACAGAAATGTAGTCTCTACCAAAGGCAACAGGAATCCATTCTCATGAGCTATCGTCTGGTTGATCTCACTGTGAAACAACTGTCTCTTCTCACCTTCATAAATATTGCTGTATCCCACCCTTTAGCTGATTTCTTCGTCCTCTTGCACTTATGATAACATTAAATTACTCTTAGGCAAACCAAAATAGCTTTTTCAGGCAGGACAAGAAAGGTAAGATTGAAACCTCAAAGCAATGAGGTTGTGTTTAATTTTCAGGAAATCAGAGGTACCTACCTGGATACCCACTGAGGCCATACGCTTTCCACTGGCTAACTGGCTGTAATCCTGCTCTGTAGGCATCTTGATCACTGACTGCAGAAATACTGAGCTGTGATCTGAACACCTGGCAAAAGAAAACAGATCTGGTTAAAAAAACACAAAAAGAAACACAAAATTAATCCAAAAACAGCATCTTAAAGGAAGAGTGCTACCACGCTTGAAGGTAACTCTCGTGAAAATGCCAAATGTACCACAGAACTACTGTCTAAACAGCTGTGATCAGGACAGGGTGAACAGTGCCAGTACACATGCAACATAAGAATCAAAAGGTACTTTGATTCTTTGATTTGGTACTTACAGGTTTTTTCCTAGAGATGAGATGTGCCCTACTCATAAAAAAACCCCATACAATATATACCAATAAGACAAAACTCATAATGATTTGTCTGTTTTCACAATACAGCCTCATCATTATAAAACATTCTGGTAATTATCAACTTCCATTACAGAGCAATATATTCATAACACTTTATACTTTCAAAGAACATTCCAGATACAAGTTGCTCATGATCCTATAGGGTAGATGAATATTCTCATCTCTAATTTACAGAAGGATAAGCAGTACAGCAATGATGTAGCCAAAGCTGTTTGATATGAAGGACTATGGAAACTCTGTCAATTCTGAATGCCATCTGTTGCCAACAGCAGGATCAACAACAGCTCAAGGCTTGGCAAGATGAAATTGCTTGACACATTCTCTTAAGTTGAAATAGCACATGTATTAAGCTACCATTTGCGGAAAAATCCCCATTAAACTCATTCTACTGGGCTCCCACTCCCTTCTTCCCTTAGGACAGGGAACTGTCTTCAGGAGGACAAGGCAGAGGCAGGCTGGTTTTGTTCTGGCTTAGTTCCCCAGTCCAGCTCTCCATGCAGCAGTGGAAAAGTACAGGGTCATATAAGGAAAGAGATGACCAGGCACAGTAGGAATAAGCATGCAGAGACTGCAAGACTTTGTCTATGACAACTTAAAATGTTTATCAAGGCCTTTGCACGCAGCCTATGTAGTGGTTCACGTGTAAATCAGTCTCTTTGCAGCTGACAGCTCTGGTTAACATTTTCTGAACAACAGGACTAAATTACATACATAGAATTTCTAAGAAATTCTGAACTACTGCCGGACAGCATCTTCTGGCAATATAGTCAGCTTTACGCATTTTTCAGCTCTTTGTCAAAAGCAGTTTTGTGAGTGCCAACCTTGAGCTTATTTCACATTCCTGTCCACCGAATGCCCCCAGGAATGCTCATCCTCTGACCAAAACTCTGCCACCCCACTGCCTGCTCAAAGTGCTTCCACACCAGCTATTGCCTGGGCTTCTGGAGAACAGGAGATGTTTCTGTGCTGCAGAATTACACGTGCTGAATCAGTTCAATAAGCCTGGTAACAGGGCAGATGGGGTACATCACACTTCACTGAAGAGCTCAACTGCTTGAAGCAGTTTTCTGAGAATAAAGAAGCAATATTATCTGCGCCAATCTGCCCAGCCTGTAGCTCTTAAAGAAAAAAGCCAGATGTTTTCAACCTGAGGGAAAGAAGAATAAAATATGTTTTCATTAGTAAGCTGTCACCTGATCTTAGAAGGTAACAGGCACAAAAAAAATTGTATTTTGAGAAGACATATCCTTGTGATGTTTTCAAATACTTTGAATTTCCCAGAAGAGCCATAATGTTGTAATGCTTTACCAAATACAGGAGTCCTCCAAGCTCAAGAAAGGCTGAAATGTTAACAATTTCCTTGGTTAATTCTAATGCCTCTAACAATTTCATATGGGTCAGATTTTGTGTTCCATTAGCAACAGCAAAATTATAGTCCAAAAAGATAGAAAAATAAATAGCTCAATAGAACACTAAAAAGAAAAGACTAAACACTGAAACTATGAAAAATTAGGCAGAGTTTCATTTGAACTATATTCCTCACTATTTTTTTTTGCATAAGCTTGTAAGGAGAAAATCCCTGGTTAACAACACTTTAGCAAATATGTGTCATCCTTTGGTGAGGCAACAAAACAGAAGACAAGTTTTAAGGATCAACTCTTCATCACTGAAGACATGGTGGCTACTACTATGATGGCTACTACTTTCAGCTGTGCTGATGCCTATATTCCCCAACCCACTGGAACAGCTGAACTCATCCTGATGACTAAGCCAGGCATTTATTATACAGGAGCGAGAAATAAGAAGAAACTTGACTAGAGGGAAGGCAGCACAGCAAGGGGAAGCTGATTCCAGCTCACCCATTTCAGGTTTAAGACAAAGGCCACCAGGCCCAGGAAACAGTTCCGAAAGTGAAACTTGGGGGGGTTTATGTCCATACATTCTGCTGCTTAAGTATCACATGGTTCTATTAGAGACTTTGAAGATCCCCGACTGCAGTGTAGGGAGCTAGTTAAACATTATGAAAGTATATATAAGCAAAAGGAGTAAACCTGTGACCAGGCATCGTGCTGGGCAGGGGGGGCCGCAGGGCACCCTGTGCCTTCGGGCAGCGTCCCACGGCTCAGGGGCACCCTGGGCGAGCCCGGCTTTGGGGCCCGCGGGCACAGGGGCCGCGGGCCCTTCCCAGCTGCCCCTCTCGGGTCACACCTTCACTTTTAAATTATCACAGGGACCCGCAAGAGGCTCAGCGCTCGAGTGCAGTGTCCTCTAGCCAGAAACAGGGCAGAACTAAGTATTCGGCACCAAAAACAGCAGGTGGAGAGAACAGGCTGCAGCGGCACCGCCACACTGAGACACCACGCAGAGGGCGGGAGCCCTCCGAGTCGCTCGCCGCGGGGCACGGGCGGAAGCAGCTCAGCATTACCTGGTCCCCCGGTGCGGAGAAGTCCACCACGCCCCGCAGGTCGGACGCGTCGCGCTTCCGATAGAAACGAAAGAGCCGACGGAACGCATCCTCCCCACCCTCACGGGTCAAGGCCGCCGCCGCCGCCATTTCGGGCCGGCCAGGGCGGGGCCGCCTCTCTCTCTCTCCGTCCCTCCCTCTCACCGCAGTCCCGACATGGCGGCGGCCAGTGCAGTGCGGGAGGCCGGGCGCCGCTCCCGGCGGCTCTTCGATATCTTCGTGGCTGAGATTCCCTGGACGGTATCGAGCAGTGAGTCTGCGACCCCGCTCCCATTCCTCACCGCTGCTGGGGCTGGCGGGGTGGGGCGGCCCTGCCGCGTGCGCCTGTACAGGCCGGGGGTCGGGCCAGGGCGGCGCGGCTGCGCGGAGGTGCCGGGCCCGCGTAACCAGCTGTGTTTTTCCACAGAGGAGCTGAAGGAGTACTTCTCCCAGTTCGGGCCGGTGCAGAGGTGCCAGCTGCCCTTCGTGAGTACCTGCGCGTCCTCCGGGCCCCAGATCGCGTGTTCTCGGCGAAGCGGGGAAGAGCCGCCGGCTGCTCCTGCGGCTGAGGCCTTGCCCCGAAGCAGCTTCCCCACTTCCTCGGAGCTGCAGTCCGGACGCCTTATGTTAAACTCTAGAGGGGTTTCCAGTGCTCTCTGTCCTTAGCTCCTTCTTCCCGGAGCGCCACCACTTGTTTGCGAGCGCTCGGCCTTATTGTGGTTTTCATTTGCCTTCAAAGAGCTTTACAGTGTACATCCTTCACATCCTGCCGATGCTGCCATTTCTGAATAATTAATCTAAAAGTGCTTTTAGCTTCTTTATCATCGTGTTATCATTCTTCTGACAGAGAATAGAGTTTTTGTGTGCCTGGTCTCACTGGTCAAAAACTAAAGGTGTGGGTACGAACCTACTATCTTTTCCTGCTGTGGATTCAGACCCCAGCCAGATTACAGGGCTGACACAAAACCCATAACCTCTGCAAGGTGCTGTCAGTGCCTGTGTCGTTTAGGCTGTTTATCTTCTGAGTGTATAGGTCAGGGATCCTAGTATCTAGTGCACTTTTTTAGAGATAAAAAAAGTGTTCCTTTGCAGGTAAATTGCAGGCCATTGCTGGAAGTGCAAAGGTTATGTCTGCTTATGTTTCTCCACATGAAGTAATCCTGTTAAATTAAGCTCAGTGTGTAGTGAACTTAAGTTAGTGAGCTGATGGATTCACTCTCTGTTGAGGATTAGTTTGGAAACGGAGAGTTTGAAACAAGCTGGTTGTTCTGAACACTTAATGCTTAGGCGCCTGCCTCTCATGTTTTTCCTCAAGCCCACCTCAGACTGCATTGTTTTGTTGCAGAGTCTGGCAGCTTACCACAAACCCACCTCCATCACTGATTCAAGTGATTCATGCGTGTACATTCAGATTCAGTGATTACTTGAGGAGTTTCATTAATGCTTAAAACCCAGAGGTACAAAAATCACCAATGTAGGACAGCCTCATTTAGACAGCACTGTGATACTGAAACCAGGCAGTACCTTGTAGGTGGTTTGGAAGTGTTGCCAGTTGTGCCTGGTGGTGAGAGTGGCTGAGCTGTTGTGAGCTCTGAGTGGGATCAGAGTAGGGATAGAAGTCACTTAGATACACCTGTCTTTTCCTCATTATCACCTGTTTATTAACAACTGTCTTTTCTGACTGGCAAAGTATTTCTAAAAATAACTTTTTTTTAGAGCAATAAGTGCTTGTCATTCTGAATTGCACTCTGCTTTCATAGTCTCTTAAGCAGCTGCTTTATCTTGCTGAATGTTTTTCAAGTACCTTGGCCATTTAAATGTCACTTCTGTTGTGACTGGCTTATTAGTAGATAAACACTGCAGTTTGAAACTACTGTCTATACATTATTCCAGTCTTCAATTATATCTTAAAATTGTGAGTTGTTGTTGTTATTACTGCTGGATTCAAACTGAAAGGGATGTAGAACAGCCTTTGCTAGACCCCCCCATGCTGTCACTGACAGCAAATGTCTTAGTGTGTAAAAGGCTCCTGAAACAGCAAGTGTGCCAATTCCTCTGATAATTTCTGAATCCTTAAATTCAGTATCTGTAGAAAATTTTTAACAGCCTATGTGACTATTTCTTACAGTAATTGCATTTTGTTGTTTTTTTTTTTTTTAACTGGTAATTAGGACAGAGATACAGGCTTTCACAGACGTTACTGCTGGATTAAGTTCTCAGCTCCAGAAGTTGTTGAGAGTGTGTTACAGGAGTCCCACATTCTTGAAGGTTCCAAGGTAATGTGCTAATTCCTTTAATGAAGTAATGTGACTAGTTGACTCTGCCTTCAACTGGACACAATAACATGAGAACATGACATATTCTTTCAAAATGTGGTTAGGATTTTGCCACTCAGTATTCTCTTAATGTTTTTTAACTCATTACTACTTCTGTTTATTCCCTCCTCTCAACTGGAGTTGTTAGGGGTCAAGATCATAGAGATACCCGAGAGATCACACTCAAGAGACCAAAAACTCCTGCTATGCTAAAGTAATGTGAATGCAGTAAAATTGTCTGGGATATGCTATGCAGTTAGTTTGCAGTTTGTAATGCTGGTTTCTGCATCTCATCTGGATGTTGAGTGGCAGGGGGAACATGATAAAGATTAAGTGATGCTAAGCTTTGAACTTTAGTGAAATTTTTCTTCAGCTGTCATTTCACACAGGAGAAATCAGCTGCTTGCTTTCATATATTCAAGACAACTCTAAATTTGCTTTAGGTGTAGGGTCTCATTCTGTCCATCTTTAACATTTTAAATGTTAGTAAAGGAAAAACACACCACTTTGGCAATCTCAGTGCATTAGTGTACAGTATTGAGACAGTGTAATGATCTAGTATACATATAAAAGTGTCTGTCCTTGACTGGTCAGCTAGAGCCAGACAACTCTCCTCCAGCACAGAAACAGAACAAGACCTTCTCACTGCTTTCCCAACATTTAGTGTGCAGTGGTGTTAACAGATAAGGAATAATGAAGAACAGCGAGTCAATGGCTGCTGAAAGCCACTGATATATTAACAGCTCTCAAAATAATTAGAAACTTGCATCTGGTATGTTCCCTAAATAGGGGATTTTCTTACAGACTTACATGTGCTTGAGCTGATAAAACTACTCAGATGGTGTAGTACAGAGTGAAGCCACAAGCAACAGGCAGGCTGGTGTATCAGACACAATCAGCTCAAGCCTTTGATTAATTAATAAGAATTCTTCAATATCCGTTTGATAACTAGTTTCTTATTTTGAGATTTAAATGCTAGGAGATGTTGACAAGAGACTTCAGTGTTGCAGTGTTGTGGTTGTGTGTATTACTGCATCAATTGTCATTAGCGGTGGTTACTTCAGTACCTATTCTCAAGAAGAACCAAACTGTGAGTTCCAACTGTGGTACAAAAATGGGAGCAGAAATCAAGATTCCTTAAACTGTGAGTAGGCTCAGAGTTTTAAAGAATAGGCAGCAGGCTGGTTCTTCCTAAAGTGTGCTGAACTAGGATGTTATCTGTATGCAATTACCAAATTAGGTACTAGAAATAGCATAGTATTTAGTGTCAATTTCCTGCAAATTTTTGCTGCTTTTTATTCTTGAGGCTGTAAGGGATAGCCACATGCACTTAACTGCCTAGGCTTCAAAGACTGTACTCTCACAAGAGGTGCAAGCTAAAAGGCTTTTTTATAGTGAAATAAAAAGCAGAAGGCAAACAGTAGTTATTTTCATTTCTTAAAAAGTGCAGGCTTCTCTAGAATACATAAGCACTTTTTCCACTTTTTTCTAGGCTAGGTTTAGACAGTTACTTTTTATTAATTACAGTGGAAAGCACAAGCTTTCAAGATGCATTTTGCTGGTACCACTACCAGTTGCTTTGCACATATATTCAACTTTCCTGTCAGGAAAGCCCTGGCTTGGGGCTTGTGAAACTGAACTGGTTATAAAGCTTCTCCTTTCTATATCAATGTTGTGGGTGATCAGAAATGAAAAAGAACAAAACATTCTTGCCTAGCTAATTTCAATAATTTCCATTGTTTTCAGCTTACTCTCAGGCAGCAGATCCGTAGAAGACGCAGTCAAAGGAAGAGTCAAAGTGAGTGATGGAAGGAGGCTTTATTTCACTAAATTTAAAGAAACTAAAATAAAGATTACTGAGAAACTATGAATGAGTACTTGTTTTAAAACAGAAGCCAGCTGTTTCCCCTGCCTTGTTCAAATAAACTGTATAGCCACACTGAAACACCAAATCATTAACACCCCAGCATCTGTTACAACATAAGACAATCATTATATACAGCAGGAAAGCTTTTAACAGATCAAGTCAAAGCTTTAGCTACCTACAGAAACTAAAGCTGTAGGAAGGGGGCTACATTCTTACCCTGAGATGCTGGGCAATGGGGAATCAGCAAAATCAGAAAACTTGCTAAACAGTAATTAATTCCCTTATGAAATGTTTCAAAGTGGTCTACACGTCTTCTCTCTCCTTGGGTAGCTGTCCTATGTAGACAAATTAGTGTGTGTATATATCCACACGGCCAGAATTGTGAGCTGCTGTGTTACAACACCATCCTCCTGTACACACAATATTAAAAATTCTTTTGCATAAGTCCAAGCTTGCAGTCCATTTCCCTACCTCTCAAGGAGCAGAGGCATTCAGTCCTTCCTCCTCTTTTTGCTCTCATGCTCATGTTCCTTAGGGCGGCTGCTGTCTGATGGCCGTTTAGAACCACCGTGTTGCTTAGCTTCTTCCAGAAACTTGTCCAAACCAAATGGATCCTCTTCAAACTGAACTGGTCCATCTCTGCCCCTGCCTCTGGTGTTACGATCCGAGTTGGAAAACTCTTTGTCGGGAACAAACCTGCAGGAGAAGATGATGCTCAGTTGACTATATTTAGAGTACTAATTAAGAATATTTCTTATATTTATTTCCTTACCTGTTAGTCTTTATTCGAGCCTCTAGATCATCACCATACATGTCCTTATCCACATTTTTACTTGGCCTGTAGATGTTTTGGGCCATATCCTTGCCACTTCTCCAAGGCTGGTCATAAACATTATAAATTTCATCCTCTCCTCCAGCAAACCCACTGTCCATACCCTGTGAAGAACAGCACAAGTTAATCAACAAACCTTCAGCTAACTTATTTTTGACAACAAAATGCACTGATGATGTTACACGGTTACACAAAGACAACATGGTGTAATTTATTATTGATTCAAATGACTCCAAGCACTGCATGAGGATATGAGTGGGTTTGGGTCTGGGATTAAGTCCAGAGAACATGACATTACAAGCCTCAGTAATACTCTTCCAGATAGCAATAGGAAAGATTACAGGCCATCCACATTTTAGAATAATGGATCATTTCAGTCTGCCCTGAAAGTACAGCTGTCTGTAATAGCTAAGTACAACCATACAGAAATGTGTATTATTCAGAATTTCTGGAAAACATGATTTAAGCTGACTGATCCAAATCACACAGAGGCTTATATAAGCTCTGAAAGTAGAAGTGTCTGCTTGTTCATTTTTGGTTCATCAGCTTTCCCTTCTTGCCTGCAAGTCTTTCATTGCAAACATGAAAAAGAGTGATTGACAAACTGCAGGTGTATTGAGGGATTTGCTGAAGCCAAATCTATTTTGTCATCTCTGAATAGTATAAAATTCAGGAAAAATAAATGTTGCTGTTAACTGTTTATATCTTCAGAAGTATTAACACAAGCAGTAATGGGAATAGAGAGCATTTACTTGCTTCTCTCTGAAGGCAGATTTCCTTTTCAGTCAGTACATTTGTAAAAGAGAAGAAAATGAGGTCACTGCAGCTTGAAGGCAAAATAATTTTTCTCCCCACTCCCCAGTGAGAAAACTGACAACAAAAACACTTTAATCCAGCTATACACTTAAAATATTCAATGTTGTTTTCTTTTTTTTTTTTCCTTTGCATAGGCTCTGGATAAAGGAAATCAATAGTTTCCTGATCACTTACATAAATAACTTTTTTCTGAATATATCCACACCAACCATGAGAACTGGCTTCCTTTAGTATTCCAGCTGTACCCACAAAGGAAGGATGAGCATGTTCTGCTAAAAAAGCTACACAGCTGTGAAAGGGTATTTTACCTTGCTCTGGTTGAACAGCCTCTGGTCATACTGGATTTCATTGGATGGCCTGGGGTTGGGGACCCCCAGGGCAATAACTTCACTGATATCTCTGTTCTCATTTCTTTGCAGCTTTGACCTGAATGAAAAATTTGAAAGTTTTATGAGGTCAGTAAACCATACTTGTTGACATGCTCAATTGCAACCTGATCCTGTATTCCTTGGTAACGATTTTCCTCAGGAGCCAAATTTTGACTGTTGTTCTTCCTTACTAGGTAACATTTAAAATTTGTCTCCTGGCAAAGGAAACATTTGGCAAAGTTATGTTCAGCTGGGCATGACATTTAAATTTGCTTTCCACTATCTGCAATTCACATCAAGCTGACTTGGTCTAAAATGTCATACTTATTTTTTGCAAGAATCAGTGTAGTTATATTCTGGAAAGGCCAAGCAATCCAATTTCAACATATTGGAGATTTTAAGCATCCAGAAATCATTTGCACTCAAGAAATCTCAGTGGCTTCAGCTAATAAGATACTTCAGCCTATCTTCATAAATCTAAGCTTACTTAAAATGAACAGCTTCAAGAAACAAAGCCACTATTCTAACTCTGGTCTCACCAAAATGAGAAGATTCAGCTTTCAATCTTTGCTGTCAACATGTTAATTAAACCTGAACATACTGAGGTCCTGCTGAAGGAAAACCCACCCAAAACCAATACAGCACACCCCCTCTCTCCCATTCATGTGAAAAATTCTACATTTTGAAGAGAGTACTGGAGAATTTTAACACAGTAATACCTTCTCATACAATGAACAAACTGTGCTTCATACCAGTGACTATCTCCACAAGATACAATTCAGGCACTTACATCAAGAAAAGGAAAGCCCAGTAATACGTTCCCTAGTGGGGAAGCCAGTGCTACTACAGGAATAAACCAGCTTTTTTTTGTGACTCACCTTTTATCAGGGGCTGCCCGAGAGAGATTTCTGTCATGCTGTCTTTCTTTGCGCCGGTCATGTCTGATTTCATCTCTTTCTCTAGCTTCTCCATCCTCTGAACAAGTACAAGATTACTCATTATAGACAAATATTTAAAGTTTGAATTAATTATGCCACAGACATTGCCACAGTAATTTAATTCAGTATTCTTTTACAGAAGAGTAATGACCCTTAGCACTACTTAAACTGTTATACTTCAAATAAACTGAACACACTAACACCATGGCTTTCTTATGCCTCAAGCAAGTGACTGTCCTTGGCAAGTCAGAGCAGACATATCCTAACAACTATGTTCTTCCAACTTTAAAGAGCTTAGAACGATTGTCTGTCTAGGAATTAATATCCTAAAACATTTACAGATTATATCATAATTCTAAGCATAAAAATCTAATTGAAACATGCAGGGATTTAACAGTTTTGAAGAACATTCTGTGATGCAATATCAGAAAATCACCCAGGTTGGAAGGGAGTCTAATTCACAACCTCCTGCTATCAACACTCATATTCAAACCAGGTTGCACATGGCTTTTTCACACTCAGGTGAGGAAAACCTGCAAGGTTAGAGACTGGCAGATTTCCTAGACAACCTGTTCCACTGCTATTTGTCCTCATGGTGAAACTTTTTCTCCTGACACAGTTGAAACTCCTGCTTCAACTCTTGGCCACTGTCTCATTCTTCCACTGTCAACTTGGTGAAGAGCTCTGATAATCATTTAGGGATGATTGTGGGATGACCTTGTGGGTAATCTTCCCATTATCTGGCCCCAATGGCACATCACATCCTAGCAGAACAAGCCTTATTCTCTCAGCATCTCCAGGCAGTTACTTGAGTCCCATGACATTTCTGATGGCCTTCCACTGAACTGACTCCCATTTATCGATGTCCTTCTTGTACCTGGAAGCCCGCAACTGCATAAAGTATTCTAAATGCAGTCTAACAGGCCACCAATAAAAGGAAATTATTACTTCCTTTGATTTACTGGTTACACTCCTACAGATGCAGCTTTGTATGCCCTTAGCATTACTGTTGCCAGGGCACACTGCTAGCTTATATTCAGCATATTGTCCACTACAACTCCAACAGTGGCTCTTCTGGCTGGCCAGCCCCCAGCCTGCTGGTAAGAGGTTAGTACATCCCAGCTGCAGGATTTGGCATTGTATGACCATATCCCTCCATCTTCTGGAGAGATCGTAACCACTCTCTAATTTCATCAACTTGATCTTTGAAGTGTAATTTCAATCAGAACGTAAGACATCACAATGGAGACAATTTAGTTAGGTTGGCAGCAGGGTTTTTTAGGGCCTACTGGCCAACAAAACTGCAGCTCTGCAAGATCAGTTACAACAGTGCAAGAGCCAGAATATTGCATTTACCACCTTTGAAAACTTAAAGATGGTTAAGTTCTTCTAGAGAAAGCTGCCCTTCATCAGCAATAAGCTTAAAAAAATTACTTTAGAACTGTCCATGAAAGCCATCACTTGCACTGATGCATTAACTCCAAAATTCTCAGTGTCCTAAACCTGTACACATCAACATACTGATCTGAGGTTCAAACCTGTATCCCATCAAACCAGCCAGTGAATTAACCAATAAAAGCATGAACTGATGTCATGCTTAGAAATTTCAGCTGGTATTTAGATATTTTAAGTTCCCAGATTGTTGCTCCAAACCTACACTTCAGAGTATTAAAAAAAGCCATAGCGTCTTCATAACAAAGAAATGTACCTTTTTCAACATGGGTTTTGATCCCTGCTCTTCTCTCCCTGGCTTTCTGAGCCATTTCTCGGAGCTTTTCCTCGTGTTTCTCCTTTTCCTTCTGAGCCATCTTCCTCTCCACTTGGGCACGCATCTCTACTGCCTCACGAGCCTGCACAAATAAGACAGTTAAAAATACCAAAAGCATAGCACCTGTGATACAAGCAGATCTGTCATGGAGTTAGGCAGTAAACAAGACAGAAATGAAGCCAAAATTAGGAAGCTTAAAGCCCATCAGCCACAGCAGTTAGAGCTGAGAGACAAGACCCATGACTTCCAATAACTTAATCCACACTGAGCCCATGATT